GTCCAATATTCTGAGAGAAACGTTTACTTGTGGCCACAGTTTTTTGGGCGAATTGGTGGACATTCTAAGGGGTTTTTTGCGTTTGAATTTTCCTTCATGGTGAATTTTCTTGAGGGCTAACGTGATTTTTCCTCTAGAACGAGCGACAAATTTATCGAAGGAATCGAGTTGTTTAGGAGAATTTATGGAACGACTAATTTTGGGGTTTGAATTTTTTTGCAAATAGCCCAGTCAATCTAGGTTAAATAAAAATAAAAAAGCTTATAGTTCTGAAATTGACCAAAAGTGTTCTTTGGACCTTCCTCTTGAACATATCCAAAAACCCCATACGTTTCGGGGTGCGCAACTGGTCGTCATTTTTGATTTTATGTCACTTTTTTCGGTTTTTCCTCAATATCTCGAAAACTATTCACTTTTTCATACCCAACTATTTACACAAAATGAAAGCTCATTAAATTTCCTAACAAGTTTTTTTCTAGCTTTAAGTTTTAACCATTTGAGAGACACATAGATGTACAACCAGAGAAGGCCAGGAAGTAAAGTGTCCGAGGGGAGTTCATTGTCTTATTTCCAACCACCCCTGTTGCGATAAACATGATTTCTGAGTTTTCAGCAAAAGGATGGTGATCTTTTAGCAACTCCGTAAGCTTTTGTACATCCAAAGAATCCCTAGCAACTCAGTAATCACGAAAATCGATATGCTGAGATGAAATTCAACCAGTAAACTCTTCCAATGATTGACAGATCTTATGAGTGGATGCAATCCCTTGAATGTATTTCGTCAATGTGCCGTCTGGCCGCTAATACCCAATTAAATGCAATGCTGCGCGTTAGAATCAAATTCTCTGCTTATACGAGTACATATAGAAAAAAACTTGTTGTTTAATAAGCTTTCATTTTGTAAATATGAGTGCTTATGAAACGGTTGATAGTTTTCGAGATATTGAAGAAAAACCGAAAAAAGTGACATGAAATACAAAATGGCAGACTGTTGCGCACTCTCCACATATGGGGTTTTTGGATATGTTCAAGGGGAAGGTTCTAAGAACATTTCTGGCTAAATTTCAAAACTATAAGTTTTTTTATTTTTATTTATCGATTTTGGAAGTAGATTGACTGGGCTAAAATCAATTTTCTTGGGGAACCAATGAGTTTTCAAAGTTGAAAAACCTTGAAGGAATTTTCTTGATAATGAAATTATTAGTCTCAACTCTTTCTAACGCAAATACTTCAAAGCTCGAATTGATTCTGGTCAGAATTTACTTGCAGGACAGTTTTAGGGATCGTTTCTCAGCAAAATACTCCGGCTATAGAACAAAGTTCTTAGAGGACAAATATTCCAGGAAGAGTATAGGTACCTGGGAGCCGTTTCCTTGAGAACGGGTGTAGTTACGAGGCGAATTTGAGGCTGCTTATCTGAGTTAATCTATTCAAGATCCCATGTTTCCTAATCGAATTTAACGGAAATCGTTGATGGATATTTAGGAACAAAATTAACAAAGGCATGGCAATTTTGTTTTTGAGAGCTACGTAATTTCCGAGAAATTAATCCGTCAACTTTTCACTTCAATTATGAAAAGTTGTACATTTATTGTCAGTGAAAAACCGATGTTACTTTACCGTTCCGCGCAGTTTTTAATGAGAATGTAACATTTTCTCTAACTTTTCAGTCATAAAGCTTAATTAGAAGAGCTTCTGCAATTATTCTCTCCGCATCAAAGTACTGCAGTTATAATACGTCTGTATCTAAATTACCCTGCGGGTTTAGGTTCGTTATAACTCCCACTGTATCTGTGACCACATCGTAAAGAAATGGAAACGTCGGAAAATTTTGAATGGCCATTGTTAACACAAAATATTATGCATTTCTGTTGGATTCGTGGAGTTGTTTTTACATTGTTACGGCGAGGGCAATTTGTGCAAAAGGCGTATACACAACCAATCAAAAATAATGATGTATTCAAGAATTCGAACATCTTGTTATGTGAATACGTTAATAATAAGAAGAGGAAAACTGAGAATGCATTACCAATTTAAATTTGTATTCTTAGATATTCGAATTTAACGAGGTGTTGAATTTTTTAATAAATTTCAGGATAGAGAGCGGCAGTCTCGAATTTGAGCATATCTCGGTTGAAATGTTAATATATTGCCTCTGCGTTTGATTACGATCTTTGCGGTTTTTGCAGAAAAGTGGGAGGGATTTTAGGGGATGTCTCGGTATTCTCATGCAGGTTATGATTCCGTTTTCTCATCCGGTCGCTATCAGTCGCGACGTCTTATCAATATGTATGCGGCCTCCGGTTGCTTAACGTCTAGCTACGACCGAAGCACATCAGCATCACATCCCGCGGGAACACCGCACGATGTCGCAACTTGTTTTTATTTGGTATTATAAGATTTTATTAAAATCAAAATTCTCCACGCTTCCACGCCGCACACAATCTCCTGACACGAGATTGAAATTTGCCTGTCGTAAGAATCACGGTTATAAATGAAATCAATTCCGCAGACCGAGCGCGTCGCCCTATGTTTGTTCTGTAAGGGAACAAGTCAATTTTCCGGAAAAATAGACGATTATTTCTCGTGAAAAATTGGAAGTGAAACAAATTTCAAACACATTCTTCGCCTCCTTTATTTACACTATCAAGTTACATCAAATTTGATTTACTCCAAAGTCATCTTCTTTGTTGCTTTTCAATATTGATTTTAAAATTAATTTAAGCTTTCATTGGAAAGACTGGTTTAAATTGCTATAATGCCAAATATTTGCCTTTAAGCGGATGCGAACGTACATTTAAAACCCTCAATAAATAAAGCAGGAATTAAACACATACATTGGGCTCAGCATTCACTTTACAATGCTACATTTTCAATGAATCTTTCGAAATTATAAGCTTAGAAAGTCAAATTGACATATATCCTGTCAGTGTACCAAAATTTGAGCCTTAACCTTCTGTAATACAAATAATAGAATAATTTTGTTCCTACTCATATTTAATTGATTAATTCTATAATAGTTCTAATTACCTACTTACACCTATGTATAATTGAAATTGTACCTTCATAACACCTAACTAATATTTGCACTTGTTCCACTTTAAGGAATTTCTGTAAATTGGTTTTAATTGACTGTTCGTTCACTTTTGAGTAACGCCACTGAATAAGTTTACTTACAATTATTACAATTAAATTTATAATTAACATCAACATCAATTCACGTAAATTCGTTGTCCTGTTCATTGCATCTACAATTTATAGACTTTAGTTAAGTTGAGAAAATTAGAAACGTGTTAAATATTATATAATTTAAACAATATATACAATTTTGGATGTATAAAGGTCAACAGGACAGTCTAGGAAGTGGAGCTTTACGGTGACACAGATAAGTTGAATGCCTTCTTGTGCAAACTAGAATCGCAGATGCATTGTCTGAAAAACCGCGTTGAAAGGGAAATTTCTCGTGAAATTAGACGTCAATATTAATGGGGATATGAAATTTCTAAGCTGAATGCCTATGTATCATTTTGAAAAAGTTCAAAAATGTATTTCTTTGTAAGGGAATATGTTTCAGTAACATCAAAGAAAGAAATTTTGTGATTCTTGGAGGCTGGAACCAATTTAAATTTTGGAGTTAAGGCGATTTATTTTACACTAGTTTATTGCCGATGAGATCTCAAATCCCCTTTAAACGTATAATAAACTCATAGGGTAATACCTGTTTTTTGGTTTCGTGCTTCCTCTCTTGAGGATTAGCCTAATAAATAACCTTTTATAGAAATTCGAAATCCTCTTACCTTAAATCATGTGGATATAGGTTTGCACATCGGTTTCAAAATGTATAACCAATTATTACATTTTCATTAGTTCAGACATGAATAAAACCAAACGCAGCGATAACAATATTAATATTTTCCACTGAAAGCGGAATTATTCCAGCGAAATATATGACATCAATCGTTAATATCCAATATGCAGAAGCCATTATTATGGGAAGCATTAACGTTCGCTGCTGGAAAACGAATTGAAATCATTATTGGATTAGATACTAAAACCAATATGAAATCTCGTATTATAATTTATGTTCTCATTAGATTTCGCCAATTACAGTGGTTTTATGCTGGAAATTAAATTTTGAATGCGCGGACGGGCGTGATTAATTAACTAAAAATTAGACTGCCTGAAAAACTGCGGTTAATCCCAATGGATTTAAAACTGATAGAGTCGAAATATTGTGACGAACACAAAGTTCCTCGTTTTATTAGTACAGTGAGGAGCACGTTCGCAGCATAGGTACGCTACTGTGGCAATTTAGTAAGTGAACTGCAGGAAAAGGCCCGAGCAGACTGTGACAAAATATTTGCATTGGGTTTCTATACCACGTAGGTAAATGTCAGTTCAAAATTGAAACTAATGGAAACATCACGTTTCAATGTTTGTATTGAAACTGCATCTACAGCAGACATTGCTGTAATTGCGTAACATAGTCCCAGTTACGTTTCTAATGCATGTAGGTACTGCAAAATATTCGAATTTTACTGTAATTTTCGCTCATATTCTGCTTCAAGCCTTGAAAGCGTGAAATAGGCTTCTGTATTTAAATCGACGAATTACGTAGTTAATCGCGAACTGTTGAAATGATGGCTATTTAAATTATTCGGCAATTTTGTCTGCCAGTTTAACTTCGTAAGTAAACCACTTTGCAGTGGAAGACGTGTGTTTCCTGATTTGGTGCGTACGGCGGTACCCTCCTTTCAGGAAACCTAATTTAAGGTAGCCCAAAACCATTTACCTCACATTTGTTAAACTAAGAGTTTCCATCCTTCAAGGGAAATAAAAGCTTTCCCTTTATAAAATTCCATGGCATCACAGATTATTGAAAAAGTGGGGGTTTTATTTTCCAATTTTCCGTCTTTATTATGCAAAAAATTGAAAACTAATAGGGTTGATTGACGTAAAAATTTTTTCCTACAAAAAACCTTAATACATTTTTGCTCTAAAATAATTTGGGGAGCCAATAATCGCATGTTATGAATTTTACATTGAAATCCCTATGATGCGTTACACAAGTCACCACCCTGTATAGGAAAAGTTAAAAAACACTTTTTTGAAGTTTTTTACACAGAATGCAATATACCGATATCTGTATTATGGTTTAACCTAACTAGTTATAAAATTTGAACACTATAGCTTTTATAGAATCGGACTTATGATTGAATGAAATTTACATTTTTTAAGACTTTAAATAATTTTTGACAAAAAAGTACAGCTCCAATTCCAATTTCCTTTTTAGGATACCTTCATAGAAGTAACTGCTGTAATATAACTTAAAATTAATCCGATCACAGCAACTCGATTTTTGTACGGTAGACCCTTTAAATTACTGCGGCATGGAAAGTTGACGGTCTCGATAAATAACGTAAATTTACAAGTTTCAATTATTATTGGTCAGGATAAACACTTTCCATGATAGATCATGACTTATAGACATGAAAAAAATTCCAAATAGTTCATTCAGAACTTTCGTCCATTATTGGCCAATAGGCATAAATTAGCTTTCAGTCCATTGGCTGGATGGTACTTGTAGCAGACCCTTTGCTTGTCTAGGACCACAGCATTTTCCATGCGCTTTTTATTGTTTTTCGCACACATTTAACTCCGTTCAGATCATTTAAACACTGCGCCCATCCATAGAGGGTGGTTCCAACGGCGCGCATCATTACCAACTTTATACCTGTCTTTATTCATATTCATAGCACAGCGATATTGAGATGAACAACATAAACTTAGTGAGAAGTTACTCCTCCCCCTCGATTCCTTTTTAGATCATTAGGCCCGACGACATTTACTTTTAATTATCTTTGTTGCTTGTTTGCGTCCAAACGTGGGGTACTCCAACAGAGCATTTTGTAGGTATCTTCAGTTGTGGTGGTTGTAATTGGCGTGCTCGTAGTGGACAACGGCGCAGGGGTAGTTGTAGTGGTTGTAATTGGTTCGCGCGTGGTGGTCGGCCGCTCAATGAGTTCTGAAACACAACATAGAACCCTTCATACCTCCAATACCATACCTTCAACGGTGTACTTCTGCCTTTCGTACCGGTGAACAACAGAGTTGATGTTAACGAAGAAAGTATAATAAATGGTGTCACCGGGATTCAATTTAACATCCACATCCTCGATTACCCACACACCGTCTGTAGGTTCGTAGGTCATCAGTTGGATATCGCCCAAATTCTTTCCGTCCAGTTCCACGTTAATATTCGCCCAAAAGAAGAATTCGGTAATGCCCTTCATATCCGGCAAACTCACACGGATCCCACTGGGCTCGAATGTTTCGAATTTTGGAATGGGCATATGATCGATAACCATTCCGTTGATCAAATATGGTAGAAGAGCTACAAGTATCGTCACACGTAGCATTTTTGACAAACTGGAGTCATGTTATCTAGTTTTACTACTACATATTAAAGGTCAGTGGTGTTATAGTGAGATAAAAAACCGATACCGTTTGCCATGGATCATACCATTGAATAATGAGTCTTTAGATATGTGTAACCATTATGAAATCGTTGACCTTATGCCGAAAGGCGTTACAAACAAATAAGATCCACATCACACAGATTTTCAAGCAACCGTTAAGTTAAAAATTTAGAAGCTGCGGTAACTGCATATACCAAACCTTTGCCTTTTAGTTCACAGACATTAAGGTATTTGGCAAATATAAAAAAAACAAAGAACCATTTCCGATCAAAAATTTGGGGATTTGGAGGTTGGTTAGGTGCCGAAATCTTTTGTCGCAATTTTTGAAGGTTTGATTTGCCGTCTGAAACGTAAAAATGAACCGTGAAAATTGGGAAATTGCAACGCTGCCAATCAAATTTTCAGGTTTGGGAACTCGATTCCTGCCTTTTTGGCATCGGTTTATTTTGTGGTCGATCTTCTTGATGAACTAATTAGAAATATAACACCTTTCAATATGGAATTATACGTGGAAGAACCTATATTCCTTAAACGTATAAACTACAAAAGAATTTTGGGACTATATCCTTTAGTAAAAAAAAAACGTCATGAAGGTTTGATAACGCGATCTCAAGGTAATCCTCTTACTACAAAAAGCACGTTTGTTGTCAGAAAGTTCTACGGCATCTGCAGCATTTTTCTATACACTACCAGCCAGAGCTGGGCAGAATACTTTCAAAAAGTATTTGAATACTAAATAGTAAATACTTTACACAAATCAAAGGTATTTGAATACTAAATACTTTCACGTCCAGCACAAGCGAATACTAGATACAGATACATTGAAAAGTATTCAAATACTTTAAAAAATAAGTATTCAAATACTTTAGAATGTATTCGAATACTTGCAAAAGTATTCGAATACTATCAAAGGTATTCGAATACTATAAAAAGTATTCCAATACTTTGAAAAGTATTTCATTAACTTACTTTGAAAAGTATTCGAATACAGTAAAAAGTATTCAAATACTTGTCACTCAAATACATTAAACATTTAAAATAGTATACTAGATAAAAGGCTTAATACTACTTAAAAAATCAAGTTACCTATACTTTGTATGGGGTTAGCTTTTTTATATTTCTATTGTTATATACATATTTAAGGGGAGTAAAAGCGTATTATTATTATTATTATTATATAGGAGGTACCTACCAGGACCTTTCTTATACCAGTTATATCCTTAAGAATACGTGTACCAGTTTTCAAAGCGTCTTGCACATGATACGTACGCCTTTCTGAAATTAATCCTAGCGATTTTGGAACAGATCCATTTTTGACCATCCGTTTGTCCGTGTGCATGATAACTTGTTTAGAAACGTGCGATCGCTTTGAAAATGGTCTTAAGGATATAAGAAAGGTCCCTATTGTTTTTTAAGTTACGTAGACTATCGAGTTCGGTATTCAGATGTATCGGATTTTTATATTTGATTTTGTGACAATGGAAACTTTCCCTAAACATTTCTAAATTGTTCTCAAATATTTGAATAACTTAAAAGTACTGCCTTTTTTTGAAGCCGGAAAAAAAAATTGTCTGAGATCGACCGGGAATATAGAATTTGGCCCGTAGAATCCATAATTTCAAACAGTTCCAAGATTGGGCTACTAGTTCAAAAGTTACAGCCCTTTGAATTTTTTTTTGAAATTGGTTTCTAGTCTATAACTTTTGATTGAGAAGTCTGATCGAAAAAGTACGAATTGTTTTGGATTCTACGCACCAAAATTAATAAGAAAAAGTGTTTTCCCAAGAAATTTTGGTGTAGTCGATTTTTGGTAAAAAAGGAAGGTTATACACTGCCTTTTTTTGAGCCCCGAAAAAAAAATTGTCTCAGATCGACCCGGAAAAAAAAATTTTCTTATAGAATGTGGCCTGTAGAATCCATAATTTCAAACAGTTCCAAGATTGGGCTACTAGTTCAAAGGTTACAGCCCTTTGAATTTTCTTTCGAAATTGGTTTCTAGTCTATAACTTTTGATTGAGAAGTCTGATCGAAAAAGTACGAATTGTTTTGGATTCTACGCTCCAAAATTAATAAGAAAAAGTGTTTTCCCGAGAAATTTTGGTGTAGTCGATTTTTGGTAAAAAAGGAAGGTTATACACTGCCTTTTTTGGGCCCCGAAAAAAAAATTGTCTCAGATCGACCCGGAAAAAAATTTTTCTTATAGAATGTGGCCTGTAGAATCCATAATTTCAAACAGTTCCAAGATTGGGCTACTAGTTCAAGAGTTACAGCCCTTTGAATTTTCTTTCGAAATTGGTTTCTAGTCTATAACTTTTGATTGAGAAGTCTGATCGAAGAAGTACGAATTGTTTTGGATTCTACGCACCAAAATTAATAAGAAAAAGTGTTTTCCCGAGAAATTTTGGTGCAGTCGATTTTTTGTAAAAAAGGAAGGTTATACACTGCCTTTTTTTGAGGCCCGAAAAAAAAATTATCTCAGATCCACCCGGTAAAAAAATTTTCTTATAGAATGTGACCTGTAGAATCCATAATTTGAAACAGTTCCAAGATTGGGCTACTAGATCAAAAGTTACAGCCCTTTGAACAAAAAGGAAGGTTAAGTATTCAAATACTATGCGAAGTATTCGAATACTTTACGCAGTATCCAAATACTTTGCGAAGTATTCGAATACTAAATATTTGTGAAAGTATTTGAGTTACAAATACAAATACTGCTTCCATAAAAGTATTTAATTACAAAGTATTTGAATACTTTAAAGGATTTGAATACTAAAAAGTATTTACAGAATCGAACATTTCGTTAAACAATATTTTGCAACTAGCTTTAAAAAGTGCAGGAATTCCATCATTATTGGAACCCTAGTTGTTCACGGAATGACGGGAAGGGCCCACAGGGGTCCTATTCTTGACCCTACGTATTTATCAAGGTTATTCGTTTTTTGATCCCAAACGATGAACTTTGGTCGAATGGTATTCTTGACCGTTCGAAAATATTTCGAATTCGTTAATGTCATTCGTTTTTACAACGAGCGGTATAAACCAGTCGAATTTATGACATATGCCATTTTTTTTACCTTGACGTAACTTGTCCACCGTATTCAGAATGTGTTTAAAAATTCATTTGAGGAATTGAGTGATGAACATGTTTCATTTAACGAAACAACACACCAAGAGACATTGCACGTGAGTTAACGAACGCCTACAACAACGTCCATCTGTGGCTGAAACTCTCACATGCACGTTAATGTTAATTAACGCACTTGCATGTCTTAAGACAAGTCTCTTGGTCTGTCTGGCCTTACAGCTACATACGCATAGTCATTCTTGTGAAGGTTTTGGTTGCTGTACGATTTTTGGAAGCGGCCAAATTAGATGTTAAGTTCCACTGTTCCACTTTTCGCAACCCGTTAAGGGCCCCACAGAAGACCGACTTGTTCGTCCGATTTGCACAACGTGTAAATCAGTTGGCACGATCGGACAAAGAAATCGGAAGTGCATGGGTAAAATCGGGCGTACTTGTACGTCGTGTAAAATATCAACATCCGACTTTTTGCCTTCCGATCGATCAAACACGAGGTACGTGGAGTCTGTCGTACTTGTTCGACATAGGTACCATCCGATGTACACGTCGTGCAAATCGGACGAACAAGTCGGAAGTCTGTGGGGCCCTTAATCACTTTTTGTAATTTGCTCAGTTATAAGTATATAGTTGTGTATACAAACTGTTGTCAAGGAAACCTCGTATGAAGGTATTTACTACTACCAAATTCAACGTTGCCAAACATATCATTCGAATTGAAATTACAAGCGTTACGAAGGCTACACATGAATAGCAAATGATAGTCGTATGCGAATTTTCATACATCGTTTTAAAACGAATACGAACCAATTCGAGTGAGGTCAAGAATAGCACCCCAGATAGATCACGGAAAAACGAACGACAATTAATATGGGATGTAACATGTGTAGATACCGTTAGCCAAAGAAAAAAAATGCTAAAATATCTATAGTAATCTACTAGACCGGTTTATTCTCTACCTTTTTGGTATTGGAACACTTGGCGCTCGGGGTGTATCTGCAAAAAAAATTGCTTCAGAAATTTGTAAAAAAGTTTTTTAAAAAACTCAAGAGGAACGTTGCTTTGAATTTTTAAAAGAATGATTTAGTTTAGCTGTTCAGAAGGGAAATACCGCTTGTATTTTAGGCACTATACCGCCACAGAGAGCATTTGATGAAATTTTAAGTGTACGGTAACTACAACCAACCCCAAAGAGAAACATCGCTTTTTCTGCGAGCATCAGAACTTTCCTAGTGCCAATTTTCGAACCGAACTAAAACACCTGCTGAATCCTATTTGAATCGCCTATTGAATTTTTGGAACTCCACCATTTTCAGGATCGGTTCACCTCTGGAGGTTAGAGAACTTTTGGTACGCTCACTTTGCAAATTTGTCATGGCTTTTTGTTCCAAAGGATAAATACGTTGCATTTTGTCCATTTTCAGTTAATCGAGCACTGTCATCTTTATTTATTTTTGAATGTTTTCATTATTTTATTTAACTTTACCTTGAACTCTGACGCTATAAAGATTCTGGGGGTGGAACCTTTGAAAGTTTCGACTTGCATGATAAACTACTACACTGTGCTAAATGAGCAAGTATGGCTGAGTTGTGGTAATTTTTCCCTATGTGGTTGCAGTGTGGCCTTGGCGATTGGATGGATAATAAATTAATAAATAACAGTATCTGTTGCACATATCCTTATCTTTCACAATTACTTTGAAAAATGCATAGTTATCAGGATATTAATAGTGATGTCCTTAACCTGTCTGTACGAATATCATTTTGCAACGCATTCCTTAATGTACCCTTAAGTAGGATGAGTTGGGAATCAAGATTTACAAAAGGTACCTCCTTATATTTAAAAAAATCCACACGCAAAGGACATTTTCTTCACATTTGCCCTTAATCAACAGTAAACAAGCTAAATCACTTTGATAACCTTTCTAAATAGGGAACAAATATAAGGCTTCAACATTAGGAAGGAATACTGCAGTCATGATTTGTACAAGCACTCTAATTTTGTTCTGGCTTCACTTTGTTATCGGTACCGCAATAGAGAAGCCGGTACCGACATTTGAGGCATTTCGACCGATTGGAATTCGCGTCACTATGCCTCACGTTGATGGTTTAACCGAATTTTTCTTGTGGGGCAACATTAATGTGCCACTTGAGGGTCAAGATTTGGGCAGCATTCAATTAAAAACGTACGAACAAACCGACGGACAGTGGGTAATTGAAGATATGAGCGTGAAATTGAATCCCGGTGATACCATCTATTATACGTTTTTTGTCAACATTAATAATGAGGTCCATAGGTATGAACGTCAGCAGTATACCGTAGAAGGTGAGCACATTTTAAAGTTGCGGTTGCATAAATTTTGGTTTAGCGCTGGTACAACGGGTAGAGCGGGTACAATTGAGTACCTACGAGGATACCTGCTTGAACGACGTAATTGCACTCAAGTTTATTGAAGATGGAATGGCCATTATAAGGAAAGGTCAGGATGGTGAGGAAAAGGAAACGATTGTGTCAACGCGTCCCGTTGCAATTACAATCGAAAAGGGTCGCATTGAGTTTGGGAAGAGTGGCAGCAAGAAGTGTTAAGGTGTCTTTATTTATTTTGTAGTAATTGAATAAATGTTAATTTAGAAGTCCTCAAATCGTCTGACCACTATTTTTAATTATCCCAGATATTTCTTTGCCTTTATCATTAGTCTGTACAATCGTGGTGTACTCGTATCTAGGGTTGCCATCCATCCGGGTTTCCCCGGATTTGTCCTAGTTTAGGGGGCGTCCGGGGAGTGTCCGGGCGGGGTTTAATTGGTAGTCCGGGTTTTAGGCTACTGAGATATCTATGAGTTCCTGTCAAAACAAGATAAACTTTTAAGGCGCCAATCAGCTTTGGTTACAATTTTTTAAAACGCCGACTCCTCATTAAACTTGGAGTTATTGAAAATTGTCTGGTGCTTTTTTTTGCATTCCTGCTCATAATACCAACGTTGAAAGAATATTTTCACTAGTGGCATAACAGTGCACCAAAGAAAGGAATTTTTCCAATACCTACATTGTTTTCTTGAATTTAATCCCTAATTTTTGTACATTAACAGGTAATTTTAATCCCTAGAGATTAATAAAGTTTTAATCCCTCATTTTTGTTTTCTTGTAAACAATTCATGGAAAAATGGATTTAAATCGATCGGTATTGGAAAAAAATAGTATAAGCAACACTGGATTAAACTAGTTTTTGTTCCCTTAAAAATATTTAAAAAATATTAAATTTAAACCATTCTCTCAGGAACAAAAACTCTTTTTAATCCCTTGTTCCTTTTTACTATTATTGAATTTGAAACATTCTAGTCAGTGATAAAAATAAAGTAGAATTTCGAAGACTATTTCTTCAGACAATATTTATTCTAAAATTCAGTTGATATGTCCGAGTTAGAATCCCTAAATCCGGGGTTTTCACGCTTCCTGTCCTAGTTGGCAGAGTTTTGAGATGGCAACCCTACTCGTATCTCATTAGTATGAACTCCAAATCAGCCCTTGGTGGAATCTTCAGTTGTGGTGGTTGTAATTGTCGCGTGGTGGACACTGGCACTGATGTAGTTGAAGTGTTGGTCGCTCGATTATTTCTGAAACATAACATAGAACCCTTCATACCTCCAATACAGTAATAACCAGCCCTTCGCCAAGCCGCTCTCTGAAGCCGGCACATCCAGTGTCTTCTTGCTTCTGAGCAATGGGTTTCCTTTTTTGTCGCTCAGCAGAAAAGCTGAAACAAGGATTCCTAATAGAATAAAATTATACGTTAAGATTCAAAATTTTGAAATTAACAAAACAATTGAGCACTATTGGTAGAAGTTCGTCTTTCATGGCGAACGGACGTGTTTTGAGCGAGCTCCGGCCTTTTTTAGTGGTTTTTTGTGTTTGTATAGGTTTAAAAATGTATGTCGGTAGCGTACAAAATTTGCAATTGTTTAGTGCTTATTTCATCGAAATCGGTCCAGTGGCTGAGATTTTACGAATTTTTACAGTTTTAAGTTTAATCTCAAGATTCATAACGCGCGAGACTAATTAAATCGTGAGAAGACAGGGCAGGAACCTCCAATCAACAGGACAAAAAAGGGCGTAAAGTTAAGATAAGTGCTTACTTGATTACTTACTCACTTACTTACTTAGAATTAAGGCTAAATTTAATTTAAAAGTGAACAAAGGGGAAAAGATAGAATAGAGAGGCGCAAGTCACTGGGAGCTACATTGAATATACCTACTTCGAATCGGGGTGGAACAAATTGACCCTTGGGAAAGGAAATATAAACTTGTCAACCGGAGACATATAAAGAAACTAAGCCATTAATTACAATATTTAAGCTCTCAAATTTCGGTCTAATAGGCATGATTGACAAAAAAGGAAACCTTTCTTACCAAATTTCAGCGGCTTTTTTTTCCTGTTTTTTGCGCTTTTTACTTTCGTTAGTACCTTTAGTTTAGAGTCTCCCAGACACAATAGAATATACGAGGCGGTCAAAGATAGACTGAAGGGGCACGTCTCGGTGACTTAACAATTAAAAATTATCTCTCCTAGGTATCTCTTTTAGCGATCAATAAACAGCACCCACCACCCAAACCAGGATTAAGACCTTAAAGACAAGTACTCGTAACAGCGATCAAATAGAAGTGCGATCAAAAGAATACATCCTAGAATGCATCAGTATAAATACGGATGGGGACTGCCTGTTTGGAGCGATTGCGCACCAACTGAGGCGACTGCCAGTGACATCAGAGCCTCACAGGAAATTAACCAAATGATTAAAAAAGAAATCAACGCATACATCAGGGAAAACCTGGAAGATTTCTACCCACAATTGATAGGAGACGTAGACGGATACGTGGAGGGAAGAAGGAGAGAACCAGCAGGGTTGCGGAAATCGTAACCAAGAATCACCGATGCATTGAGGTGGAGAAATTTGAAGGAAAAGCAAGAGTATATCCATGGCCCAAATCAAGATGAAAATAAGAAGACTAACAATCATAGGATGCCACATCCCCTCGGACAAAAGAGGGCAGGCGGAACTCAGAAATCGAAGTGAAACAACAAAAAAAGTGCGAAAAGAACCTGGGTATCATACTAGGCGACTTCAATGCACAACTAGGCAGACTGGACGGAAGTGAATAGGAGGAAGGGAACGGCAGCGACCTTTACGAACATGGTACACCTACATGGACTGAGGGTAGAAAACATATTCGGCAAGTCCAAAATGGTAACATGTAATCAAAGGAAATAAGTGTCACGAACACACGAACACAGCAGACATATGGGCAAAAACAGTAGGATCGGACCACAAAATGGTAAAGCGTGTAATGGGTTGGAGTTTTTTAAAAACCAAATTTACACGTTCTTTACGTCCTAGAAAGAATTTTTTGATTACAATGTAACTTAGATATAAAGTGCAAAGGACAGATTCTATTTTTAAAGTGCTTTTGTTTCATTTTTATATGAATGCGATTTATACGGTGCGAGGGGAATTTTTATCGTGAGTAAAAAAGTGCAGGGAGTCGGCGTTCAACCATCGAGTAGTAAAGGTGGTAATTAGTGTGTCTGGAAATTTGCAGTACGCGGTATACGCAGTTAGCGTACTACGATTTCAATACGCAACAAAAAGTCAAAAGTGGTAGTGTGACGTCGCCGAACGTTTTAAAATTGATATAGCGTAAATAAAGTTATCGAGATATTTTACGCCCACATCGTTATCTGAGTGGAATTTGGGGTCTGCGTGCCAACGTAGTTTGTTTCCCAGCCTGGAAGAGGAGCCTATGCAGCGTTAGTTTTTCCCGCCGGCGTATCGTTTTCCGCCAGCGAGTATTTTTGGGTATTTCCACCTTGAGAAGATTAGATTTGGGAAATTTGGCAGTCCACCACCACCAGTTTGATTTCCTGTAACGACAAAAGCGAACGCCTGGAATGCGAGGTCACCAACCTGTTCCCAGCGGATGTAAGGCGATTAGATAAGAAGCAACGCCATTACCGAGATGAATTAAGGTAGAATTTGCAGTTTTATATTTGATAAACTTGATTAAATCGTGAAGTTTGCGTATTTTTGATCGATCTGAACAATTTTATATTTGACTTTTGGGGTTTTATGTATTTTAGGGGATTGTATAACAGTTAAATTTGATTAAGGTACCAGTTAAAGGAAATGTCCGTTATTTTTGATTATTAAGCTTTACCGTTCTTTTAAGGGCGGAGATATTTATATGTTTTAAATCCATTGACTTTCAAATAAAGGTATTAAAGATAATTAATGTTAATTCTCTGTAATTTCTCAAGGAGGTCAAGAAGTTTGCGTATAAAGGAAACCCAAATTGTTGCATTTACATACCAATCTCGGAAGCATATGAGAGTAGTAACGTCAAAACAACATTCTTCCAAATTTTGGTTACGTTTTTATGATTAATGAATGTTATACCGTGAGCTAGAATAGAACGAATTATCTTCCTATTTGCACCCATGTTATTATCTGAGCTAGCGGGTTAAAGAGGTACAGAAGGTAAGTCCTAAGTACTTTGAAGAGAGAAAAAGAAGATTTTTCACACCGACACGAACCTGAAAAATTACTGTTATTTTGTAAAGGGAAACATCCACGGCAAAATGGCGTACCTACGTTCAGTTTGTTAGGAAACCTTTACCAAAATAACGATAAATTGCGAGCAAGTTAAGAAAACCGCCGCAAGCGGAAAGTAAAGATGGGGAGGGGAAGAAGAGAACATGAAGGAAAGGACAAGGAGCACAACGGGGAAACCGAAGGGTGGAATGTGAAACTTCTGTCAGGGGAGAAGAAAAGAAAAGAGTACCGAAAGCAGTGGTAAAAGATTAGAAGCAAAAAGGGGATGGGATACTATATGGAAAAAGATCGGCGAAACGATCAAAGAAGCAACAAGGAAAACAATAGGGAAACAGAAACCGCCCATGTGACCGAACAGAAAGCGGGCCAAAACCCACACTAACCTGAAACAAAGAAGAAGCTAAGGGAAGCCAAGGAAGAAGAAAACAGAGCCTATGAGCAACACGAAATCAAGGAATTCGCCGAGTTCGCGGAGAACATCACCAAACTCAGACCAATGGAGAGGAATACGGAAATGTAATGGTATAGGCACATCAGAAAATATAAAAGGAGGAAACAAGGGGGAAACAGAAAATAGATACCAATGACAGCGTGGGACTACCCAAATTCCTAATCAACAGAACCATACACGCGTGGCAAAGGGAGTATACTAGTATACAATGGTTTTGGAAGAAAACCGAACACCAAAAGAAAACCAGGGGGATCAAACAAGGATGTCCGTTTCCCCAAGGCTCTTCGCGATAGCACTAGACCACGCTATAGAACAAACAAGGATGGTGGTGCCAGGCATATGTCAAAGTTTCAAGTTTCAACAAAACAATTGAGCACTATTAAGTACATAAGTACCGTATCGACACGATACAATCGTCACTTGATGCGACACTGTTATCTTTTGTGCTTGAATGAAAAACTTTATACCCATAGGCTATAGGTATAGATATACCTATGAAACCATAAACATTTCCAATGTTAAAATGTATGCATTTATACAGTCATACACATATATTCCTCCCCTTTAGTCAGCAATTGCTCTTTGT